GGGCTGGAAGGGACCCACAGGGATCATTGAATCCAACCCCCAGCCCTGCACAGGACCATCCCCAACAATCCCCCCTGTCCCTCAGAGCATTGTCCAAACCCTCCTGGAGCTCTGGCAGCCTTGGGGCTGTGCCCACTGCCCTGGGGAGCCTGGTCAGTGCCCAATCAGCCTCTGGGGGAAGAACCTTTGCCTGAGATCCAACCTGAGCCTGCCCTGACACAGCTCCAGCCATTCCCTGGCTGCTGTCCCTGGTCCCCCCAGAGCAGAGCTCGGTCCCTGCCCCTCCTCTGCCCCTCAGCTCATTGCAGGCTTTTCCTTCTCATTTCTCTCTCAAGTTCCACAAGTCCTTTCTGGAATATTTGATCTTTACCTGCAGAATGAATTCATTCGTAGCACTATTGAAGGACATTTCATACTTGGCAGGGTCATCCATCCCTTTTCGTGTACGTGACCATTTCACCTCTGGGGTTGGGACACCTTTGACCACAGCTCTGAAAATGGCATTTTTACCTTTGAAAAGAGGCAAGAAATTAGTTAAGACAGTCTTGAACTCTCATGCCAGGCCCCTTGTGTTATCAATAGACTGATCTCCAGAGTGAGCCACCATCTGTTGTTTTGGGCAGAAACATTCTTCAAAAATAATGATGGCTTTTATTTTGCACATCAGTAATTCAGGGTTTGCCTGTATTCAATCATAAAAGGCCTTTAAAATGTGGTGTTACTGTGCCAGATGTGGCTGCTGACATCTCTGACTATCTCTGCAGCCCTACAGCCAGTTCAGCCTTGACCTGCTTTTGGCAGCTTGTGCCACTGCCTGACAGCCGGGAAACACCCAAATCGATTCTCTTCAAACATCTATTCCCTATAAAATCCCAGTGCTCCTCCATTCTTTCAGACTACAGTGCCTTGTCTGCTGACCTGGCACCACCTGCACCCCAACCACCCCCGACTCTGCTCTGTGAAAAGGCAGGGAAGGGAGGAGGGGATGGGCTTTGGCTCCTTCATCTCTGCTCCCCTCAAACCTGGGTTTTCTGAGTGCACAGACACCTCCAACAGCTTTCCCACTGCCTGCTACAGACCTCTGCTTCCAAAAGGCTTCTAAAACATGGGAAACACTGGGAAACAACGAGTCAGAGAAGTGACTCGTGGTGAAGTGGAATAGAAGTGGAGGTGAGTTATCCACGGACGAAGCTCTGGACGGAAATGATTGTTGTCTTTCTTGTGCAATAGTTTTGGTCTTCAGGTGCCCAATACTGTTAAAAATTCTCCCCAGGAAGCCTTGCAATGTTTCCCACACCCTTCTGCAGTCACCACCACCAAAGACTTCTTTTATGGAACAACAGATTCTTATCAAAAGGCGTTTTCCAACCTTTGAGATCAGAGCACTATTGTTAAAGCCTGATTCCAATTTATTGTCCCCATGTCACATTTTAGCCATTTTGGCTGTGCTTTTGCTCATCATCTGCCACAGGCCACAGCTGCACAGCCAAGGGAATCAGCTCCTACATGCACTGAAAACAATGGGGGGATGATGATGTAAATAAAGACACTCCTGGTGCCTCTGCACAGAATTCAGGTTACAGTGACCAACCCAAATGCACAAACATTCTGTACAGGAACCACGAGAAACCTGCTGCAAATGAAATAACTGGGAAAATTCAGACAGGTGAAAATTTAGTCAGGGGCCTTGGTTCATTCCTGAAACTTAAAAGGTGGAGGAGGAGGAGAGGGGAGGTTCCACTAGAGGCCACTGTGCTCCTTCATAAAACCTCAATGGCTCGTGAAAATCAACAGATGGGTGAGAAACACTGAATCCACAGGTCAGTACTGGGAGGAAAGAGGAGCTACAGGATCTCCTCAGGCCATTCCACTCCAAATAAATATATATATATATTATATATAAATATATATGAGTCTCTGCAAGTGCAGAGAGACCACTGGGAGGCTTTTCACTGATGTTTGGTCTTGACTCATCAGCTGTTCCCCTGTGCAAGATCCATGTTGCTCCTTAAACAATAAATGGAATCATCATAGAACCACGGAATGGTTTGGGACCTCAAAGCTCATCCCATTCCACCCCCTGCCACAGGCAGGGACACCTTCCACTAGCCCAGGTTGCTCCAAGCCCCATCCAGCCCGGCCTTGGATCCTTCCAGGGATGGGGCAGCCACAGCTTCTCTGGGCAACCTGTGCCAGGGCCTCCCCACCCTCACAGGGGAGAATTCCTCCCCAGTATCCCACCTAGCCCTGCCCTCTGGCAGTGGGAAGCCTTTGCCTCTTGTCCTGTCACTCCAAGCCTTATCCAGCCCTCTTGGAGACCCTTTAGGCATGGGAAAGCTGCTGTAGCCAAAACAGTACCTGCAGGCAGAATATCTTACTTTAAAAAGCAGTTAATCTTAGTGCTGAACACTCATAATACAAGTTAGTTCAACAGGAAAAAAAACCCAAACAAACCCCCAAATTTTTCAACGTGCTTCATCTTTTGCTGCAAAATACTTACTTTGAGAGCTTCCTGCAGAATTCACAGGATTTGTTGCCCACTTTAGGAGCCAGATTTTGGTCTTGCACATGCAAGGAGTCCTCTGTCAGTACTGATGGAATTTTCACCAGTGTAACAAAGACTTTGGCCACACAACACTTTTTTTCTGGTCATGCCAAACCACTTTAGAAACTACTTTGATTTAATTACAATAATTGTTCCATGCTGGTGAGAGGTGGAGTCAGGCCTCCAGGTCTGTGGCTTTGCCTGTCTTTCAAGAATCTCACCTTCCTGCAGGGTCAGGGTGAGAGGTTTCCTCTCAAAGTCAGGTGTACTGCATCCTTCCGGAACATCATTCACAAACTGGGTGATGAGAACCCCTGGGATAGCAGATTTCTTGAAGGTTTTTACTAGAAAGGTAAGAAAAATACATTTAATTAGCATAACATTTTTCCTTCAGGAACAATCTCTCAGCCTGCAGAGAAGCAGCTGCTCCTGCCCAGCTCCTCACTATGAAGATCCCCCCCGTTCCAGTCCCACGGGCTGTGAGGTGTGTCCCGAGGCTGGAGCACTGAGGTCTTGGCTTTGGAAAACCAGTGGCCAAGCGGGAAAATCTGCAAGGAAGATCCCAATGCAGGGCCCCCTCGGGTCCCAGCTCTAGGGGTGGTTGGGACAGGGGAAAGCTTTGCATCATTGTCCCAAATAACACTTCCAAACCTGGCAGGACAAAGCCCCTCTTCCCAAGGTCAGCAGCACCCGAGGGGTCAGTGCCTGGTGTCCCTCCTTGAGGAGGGGGGACAGACACCCCCAGACCAGACAGATACCCCCAGACCAGCCAAGCAAGCTGGGGTCATTCCCAGGGTATCACAGGGAGTTCCCAGAGCTGTGTCTGTTCTCTCACCTGGCTGGGGGCTGGTCATGGTGCCCTGCTCAGCTTTCTGGGATCACCACAAACAGGTCGGGGGTTTTCCTGGGAAAAAGGACAAATCACTGCATTATTCACAGTTCACAAGGGAAAGGACAGACCTTGACACTGCTCCCTTCACTGGCACAGTTTCCCCTTCCTCACTCCCGCCCAAGCTGAGACAGAGCTGCCAATCGACACGTCCTCTCAGGACACATCCCAGCACGGTTCTGAACCAGCACAAACCGGGCAGGAGAACAACTGGAAGGGCTGAGTGGGAAATGCACACATCCAACAGCATCCCTCTGCCACCCTTTCCCTGCCCATGGCACCTGGCTCTCCTCCAAACACCTCCTCTCGTGTTTCAGGCAAATATTACATCACATGGCACTCACATGGGGAGTTCTGATGGATGGCGAGAGCAGTTGCTGAGAAGAAAGCCACAGACATGGATGTCTAAACTGGGGCATGAAGCAGAAGCACATCCTGATCTAAATTAGCTTGTTTAAATTAGCAACAGACCCGAGAGCAGAGCAGAAGACTTTAGAAGGAAATGGTGAAGTGTGAGCTGGGAATTAAGCAGTTATTGTCATGGATCACTCGACCTTCTGCCAGAGGCATCTCTTTCCTTGTATTTTAAACTGGACAATGTGTAATGTAACACATCCCTGTCCTGAAGGCAAACTGGGAAGGTAGATTCCTTGTCACAGGAGAGATGCTCACAAACTCTAGAGTTACTGCAGCTCTGCAAGAGCAGTTGGATTGGATTCCCCTGTGGGATTGATGCTGCTCCCTGTTTACCCTCTGCACTCCTTCAGTCAGGAGAGGCACATAGGAACATGCAGCTTCCATCAGTTTTAAAAGGCATGGGGACTTTGGGAGCACACCTACGTCAGGCATTCGTCCAGCTGAGAAGTGTCACAGGCACGTGGTGAAAACCCAGAGTATGACCCCAACACCTCCCCGTTCCACACTCAGCTCGGAGCTGCATCACCTGGGTGAAACCTGCTTTCAGCCAAAGGTAAAACCAACTAATAAATAAAATAATTTGTGCTGTGTGCCTCATAGACAGGCCAAAGAAAGTATCACTCACAGTACTTCTGGGTCGAATTCTGAACCAAAATTTGATTTTCCATTACTCAGCAGCTGCAAAGAGCCACAGGCACCTCCCCACAACAACTCACTGGCTCCACTGTTGCCTTTAAATAAAGTCTTATTTTGGGGCTCTGCACACTACACAGATCTCATCAGTAATTAATATCACTCCTGAGACTCACTGACCTCAGTGGAAATGCACTGAGACAACAGACATGGGAGATGATCCCGGGGCTGTGTGAGCACCAGCCAGTCATCCCCTCTCCCTGTCCCTCCCTGCCCTGCTGTGAGTGACTCCTGCTCTCCCCATGAGCACCAGCCAGTCATCCCCTCTC